TAGAGTTTGGGGTCTGATATTAAGATCCTTGATCCATTTTGAGTTAATATTTGTATAGGATGATAAACATGGATCTAGTTTCAGTTTTTTGCAGACTGCTAACCAGTTTTCCCAGCAGTTTTTGTTGAAGAGGCTGTCTTATCTCCATCGTATATTTTTAGCGCCTTTGTCAAAGACAAGTTGGTTATAGTTGTATGACTTCATATCTGGGTCCTCTATTCTGTTCCACTTGTCTTCATGTCTGTTTTTGTGCCAGTACCATGCTGTTTTTATTGTTATTGCTTTATTACATAGTTTGAAGTTGGGTATTGTGATACCTCCAGCATTATTCTTTTTACTGAGTATTGCCTTGGCTATTCGTGGCCTCTTGTGTTTCCATATAAATTTAACAGTAGATTTTTCAATCTCTTTAATGAATGTCATTGGAATTTTGATGGGAACTGCATTAAACATGTAGATTACTTTTGGGAGTATAGCCATTTTTACTATGTTGATTCTACCAATCCATGAGCATGGGAGATCTCTCCACTTTCTATAGTCTTCCTCAATCTCTTTCTTCAGAAGTTTATAGTTTTCCTTGTAGAGGTTATTCACATCCTTTGTTTACACCTAGGTATTTGATTTTTTTGAGGGTATTGTAAATGGAATTGTTTCCATATATTCTTTCTCAGTTTGTTCATTATTAGTGTATAGAAATGCTAATGATTTTTCTATGTTGATTTTATATCCTGCTATCTTGCTATAGCTGTTGATGGTATCTAGGAGCTTTTGAGTAGAGTTTTTTGGGTCTTTAAGGTATAGGATCATATCTTGACTGAATATATTTTCAATTTACAGTGGGTTTATCAGGACCTACCCCCATCATGAGTCAAAGAGAATCTATACATACCACAACTTCTTTATCTATTTACCTGTTAATAGACAGATTATTTCCATATTTTGGCAGTTGTGAATAAGGCTGTAATCATATGGGAGGGCAGCTATTTCTATGAGTTACTGATTTCATCTCCTTGGGTATGTACACAGAAGAGAATTGCTGGATTATATGGCAGTTCTATTTTTAACTTTTTAAGGAACTTCCATACTGTTTTCCATAGTGACTGTACAATTTACATTTCTACCTACAATGTAGAAACATTCGCTTTTCTCTACACCCTCACCCAATACTTGTTATCCCTTGTCTTTTTATGATCATTATCTTATGAAGTATGATTTGATCCTATTGTGATTTTGATATGCATTTCTCTGATGATATGGCTTTTTCAGCAGAAACATTGTAGGTCAAAAGGGAATAGAATGATATATTTGAAATAATGGGGAAAAAAGTTGTCAACCAAAAATACTATACTTGTAAAATTTGTCCTTCAAAAATGAAGGGGAAATAAAGGACTACTGAAAAATGTTCAGTTGAAACAAAAGAACTCTAAATAGCAACAAGAGAGCATAAGAAAGTAAGACACTTATTGGTAAAGGCAAATATATTGACTAAAACAGAATGCTGTATTACTATAAAAGTGGTAAATAAATCACTTTTAATTCTATGATAAAAGGTAAAAGACAAAAACAACTATAAATTATGCTAATGGGTGTATAATATAAGTAGTTGTAAATTAGAACATCAGTAGAATATAATGTGAAGGGGAAAGAGCAAACTGAGAGTCTTATGAAAGTAAAGTTATTATCAGCTTAAGATGGACTATTACAACTGATTTTTATGTAAGCCCCTTGGTAACCATAAAGAAAATACCTGCAGAAGTTACACAAAAGAAAAAGAGAAAGAAATCAAAACCTCTTAATACCAAAAAGAAAAGTAACACAAAAAAAGATAGCAAGGGATTAAAAGGGGAACAAAAGAACTACAAGATATACAACTGTTAACAAAAAGGCAGGAATAAATCCTTGTCACTAGTTCACTCATATGTAAATGGACTAAACTCCCCTATTAAAAGATACACGGTGACTGAATTAATTAAACACACACACATACATACATATAAGATCAACCTATATGCTATCTACAGGAAACTCATTCTAGACCAACAGTGCACATGGTAAAATCCATGGAAATGGTAACAAAAAGACAGCAGGGATGGCGTATACTTATATCAAAGAGAATAGACTTTAAGTAAAAATTCTCTCTAGAGATAAAGAAAGTCATTACATAATAATAAAATGGTCCATTCAACAAGACAATATAAGTTATGAGGTCTTGAGTTGTGGTTCATGTGGTAGGGCACTTGCCAAGCAAGCACAAGGCCCCAGGACCACCATTAAAAAACAACCAAGCCAAAACAGAAAATGTAAGTTATCAATGTGTATGTACCTAACATCAGAATACCTACATAAATAAAACAAATATTGATAGATCTGAAAGGAGAACTTATAATAGTAGATATCAGTGTCTCATTTTCAATAATAGGTAGAGCATTTAGACATAAAATCAGTAAACAGACTTGAATAATACTGTAGACCAATGTCCCTAACAGACATACACAGAACTTTTTACCCAACAACAGAAGAATACACATTATTCTCAAGTGCATAAGCAACATTCTCCGAAATAGATTGCAAGTTAGGTCACAAAACAAATCTTAATTCATGAAGATTGAAATCATACCAAGTATCTTTTCTGACCACAATAGAATTAAGCTAGAAATTAATAAGAGAAAGAAAATAGGAAAATTGTGAATTTGCAATTTGGCAAGGCTTGGTCAAGACACCTTATCTCTGCTCTGTGTAGTACCTGTAAGCTGGGGCAGCTCAATGGGGTTGGAGGACCCCCCTGAGAGTCCCAAATCCCTGATATCTCACTCACATGAACCTCTCTATGGAAAGCTGGGGTTTCCTTGGCACAGAGTGGCTAAGTTCCAAGAACAAATCAATGCTCAAGAGAACTAGGATAAAGCTCTATTGTTTTTATGGGCTAGCTTTGTAAGTCACATAGCATTACTTCCATGGTAGCCACAAAATTCTCCCAGATTCCAGGGCAGGAAGCATTAAATACTGCCTCTCTGAACGAGGATTATCAAAGACATGTTGTAAGGATTGCAGTAGGAGATAGTATTGCAACAATTCTTGGAAAATTCCATCACCTACATAAAGTTCACATCCATTCTTTGTCTCCATTGCCTTCTTATTTCACCATCGTTAGGAAGCCTCATGATGTTCACTCACATGCAGTGTTAAAGTTGTAAGGCCAGTCCAAGGAACAGTGGCATGAGAGAGCCAGGGAGACAAAAAATCAGGAGGCCCGGAGCCAGAACTCACAGCCTATATGTCACAGGATGAATTTAGGTCACATTCTCTCATCTAATTCTCATCGGCTTCCCACCCTGATCCAGATCCCACCTCCAAAACCCTAAAGTCAGACTATCTTTCTTGCCTATGAAGTGGGAAAAGCACTTGTGAGGAAGAGACTATCATCCAGGAACAGATCCTGGATTTTTTGGGTCCTGAGTTTATACAGATGGGGGGTGGATTCTTGAAGAAAAAATGTCGAATTGTAAATATAGGTTTAAGGCCTCAGTAGTATTATATCAGTGAGGGGATCGTCCAGCTAAAGATTCATCAGTTGTTGTAAGGCTGTCTTTGTTGAATTTTATCCTACTTCTAAAGTTCTCAAGGTCTTCCTTTTATTTTGCTTGATATATTTATGCAGTCCTCATACCTTCTTTCTCCTGTTTTCTCTCTGGTGAGATGACAAATAAAGCACAAAATTGAAATCTCTCAGAAATTTCCCTAAGTTCTTTTGGCCCAAGACTTCCATGATTTTCCCCTAACAGTCAAGGAAGGGAGTGTTGGCTGTAATACTTTGTTCTTTTGGAAATAGGGCACAGGAATATGAATTTCCACAAGCAAAATTACTGTCTACTTGAGTGTATACTGTCACTCATTGGCCAATGAGTTTGCTAGAGTCTATACTATACTCTGAGAAGTGCCTGGACTTACTCTGCAGGAAGGGAAGAAATGACCTGGAACTGTGATTTGGGGGAGGGAAACCCCCACAAATATAAGCAGTGTCAGTGAAAAGGTTTGACAGTGAATAAATTACAATTTAACAAAGGCAGAGATTCTTCTTGCTGAATTACATTGAAGTGATCAAAACAATCTAGCAAATAGTAAAGTATCTCTATCACCTGGAACATAGATAGGAAGTCTACTCTTTGTAGATTAGAAATAACAGAGAGATGGAGACCATTTACTATAGAAAGAAGGAGCTGTAACCCCTGGCAAGGCACTGCTCCTGAATGCATGGCCAACCTTCATGGATAGGCCAGAGCTCAGGCACATCCTCCCAGCTCTCTTGAAATGATGTCAGTTTTTGGCACAGTGAGCATCAGGCCACAGAACTGGATGGGGCCCTGACTGTTGAAGTCCAGTCTTGGTTAGCAAAAGGACCCTGTTGTCTACTAAGTGCTAACTGCTTCACCCAGAAACTGAAAAGAATTCCTTCTGTCTGTTCTCAATCTAATGCTAAATGTCTTTAGCATTTCCCTTTGGAACTAAAAATTCAGTGTGGTCCCATTACTCAGGCAGAACCTATCTCCATATAGATTTTCTGCCTCACCAAGAGAGCCAAGGGGGTGAGGGGGAGGGAATGACCAGACTGTAATCTTAAGAATTCTTTGCTCAACTGGATGGTTGCTCTGTCACATCTGAAAGCATCTAAAAGATATTCTCAGAACAACATAAACCGAAAAGACACTTGTCACGCATGTTTCTTCAAAGAACTACTTGAACAAGTAAGTGCTTATTAGACTGAGAAGTAAAGCAAGACAGGGATATACTCATGAAATTAGGATCACTGACAATGTAGGCTTCCTTAGAGTTGAGAAAGTCCCTCTCTTACCATGCACGGGGAGCTAGCTTCTTGGATGTGGGTGCAGAGTCGCTTTAAGGTTGAAGGGAAGAATTCCCACTGATTTGCAAAAAGGGAATTGACTTTATTTATTCATTTGCTGTTAAATCCTATTCCAACCTTCCTGTTGTGTCTCCCACAGACTGTTTTTGAGAGGAATTGCCTATCTGAGGACTGTGCTGCCGACCTGCAGCTTCAGGGTAAACTGTTGCTCTCCAGGTATGTCAGTGTTTCTTTCATACCATTGTTCTGGGAAGCTTGTTTTTCTTGATGCAGGCCCAAGACCTGAATGTTCAGATTTCCCCACCAGAAAGGGTAAAGGATTATGATACTTTGTGGTTTTAAAATAATTTTAACAATAGCTATTATTTGGGGAGAGCAGTCTAAATTTTGTTTGTAATTTCACATATCTCGTTATTTAGTTTGTATTTCTAAATTCTGTTAGTATTTTGTGTGTTGGAAGGGTATTACATGTCAACTTATTATATGAAGTCATATCATGTGAAATTGCCAATACTAAACCTTTTCGGTCAATTTCATTTGATTTAATCTATTATTATACAAAGGTTGTTTTTAGTTTTCCCTTTATACTTAACAATGGTGTCTGCTTTAAAAGGTAATGTGTCTGTGTCAGGATGGGGTGAAGGAGGGACAGGTCATCCTGATGCAACTAAGCAGACAGTCTCTTTATTATTTCAGGGTTTTCTTCCATAGTCTATGAACTCCAAAGGCTAAAGGTCAACCAGACAGAGGCTTCTATTTCCTCTTTACCAACCTTTCATTTTAGATTTCTTTTAGGAAGAAGGTACTGGTCCAATCATTTAGCCACATTTCAGAGAATGGTCTTGAAAAATAATGTTAGTCTTAGGACCAGAAACTCCTCTATAGGATTTATTACCATTTCTCAAAATAATCATCAGTTTTGATAGTTATTCTCTAAAATGCCTTGTATGTCCATTAGTTGAAACTCTGAGAGTTTGGATGGAATAAAATGAAGTCCCATCATGAACCAGTGACAACGCTAGGATTTATTTGTAAGAGATAGGGTCTCACTATGCAGCCCAGGCTGGCCTTGCCCTCTCCATCCTCCTGCCTCAACCTTCCAAGGGCTGAGATCATGTGTGTGCACCACCACACCTGACTCTAACACTAGAATGTTGTTGCTTTTGATGATAAATGATCTTTTATTCCTAAGATTCCTTTTCTTCTGTTTGAGTTTTTAGGGGAAGTTGAGATAACACCACACACACACAAATTCTCTCTCTCTCTCTCTCTCTCTCTTTCTCTTCCCCTCCCCCCCAAAGCTACTTAATTATTAATTAGCTTTACTTTTACTTTGGGAGAGAGTAGTAGATTAAAGTAACATCTGTTTTCCCAAGCTTAGAAAATTACTTTAAACCCAGAGAGTGGATAAGGGGATTGTTTGACTTTAGTAAGAAGGGCCTCCTGGCATGATTATAGAAACCAGTTCTAAAGAAAAGTCATAAACTATCAAGTCATTAATGTTATTTTAAGTAGGTGTCCCAAAAAAAAGTATTTTAGGGGAAAAGTAACAAGAAACAAAGATATAACAATTTGTTTTATCATGAGGCAGCCTATAATTGCTAAAATTTTATTTTGGATCACAGAACACTTCATGTGGTTGGAAAATATTCACTTGATCCATTAGGAAAGTTCTGTTGGTCTTCTACCCATTAGTGGGTGGTCAAATTCACCTCTACTGCATTGTGCTTTCCTTGAAGTAAGATGTAAAGTTCAAGACCTGTGCTCAATAAAACACTTATGGTGGAAACCTTCCTCCACTGCTCCAACTTGGCCTTCCAACAGTGTTGTCAGAGCCAGATCTGCTCTGTGGACTCAGTAATTGATAATGCCAGAATAACAAGTGTTATGGATAGGGCCCAAACTCCCATATGTATCAGCTAGCCATTACCACCAGAAAATGCTATATAACAAGTCACCCCCAAAGTTAACAGCATAAAAGAGCAATTATGTCTCTTATGGATCTTCAGATCAGCTGAGGGTTGGTTGGATTTAGCTACATCTTGGATGACTTGTTCATGAATCTGAGTTCAATGGAGAACAGACTCTGGGCTTGGGTAGTACAGTTTAGTTCTGCTCCATGTGTCTTTAATTGTCCCCATAGAACCAATAGGCTAGAAGGGGCATATTCTCTCCCAGAATGGTAAAGATGCTCCAGGGCAAGCAGAAACATGCAGTGGCTTTTAGAGCTTTAGGTTCAGAACTAGAGCACTGTTACATCAGCCTTATTCTATTAGCCATAGCAAGTCATATGCCAAACCCAGAGTCAGAGGCAGGATATTTTTTGTAGTTCCTTTAGGAACTACAAAGTCATCTAGCAATGGGCATAAAGAGGGACAAAGAATTTGGACCAATAATGGAATCTACTACAGCATGTTAGGAGATGGATAGCTTTGTCTCTCATCCTGGTGCCTCAGAGCTTTCAGGACTATCAGCTTTGTTTATAATTCTATCATCTTAGAACTCAGACATGAGCCCGGGAGATGGATGAGATTTTTCTCAACCTTGGGCCAAACCTTTTTTGACTCTCTTTAGAATGAGGTGTTTTCCCAGAGGACCCCTGTTCTCTCACAATAGTCTTTTGTGTATTGAAGAAATCTTCATTATACTCTTGGCCCCATAGCCATTCCCACAGGAGCCATCAGAGAAACACATTCATTGATAATTGAATGTGTGGAGATAATAAAATCAAAGGTTTGGTAGAAACCTGGATCTAGATTTGTATGGCATTAGTTTAGTGCCTTGAACTAGAGGAGAGCTGTCTCACTAATCATTTACCTCTCTGTATTCTTTATTACCTGGGATACAGTGTATGATCCCTTCACTGCCTGAGTAAGTACTGGACTCTACTGCAACAGTGAATAATATGTGGGCCCTGGTCTCCTTGTATGCACAGTCTGGGCAAGAAAGGGCCAAAGAGAGTGACTGGTGGTCGCACTACCAGATGGAATGGATACACTTTCATTCCATTCCATTCCTGTGGAACAGCCTACAGGAGGCCATATGAAGAGGACTGGGCAGAGGTACAAACAGCTGGACTTCCATGAAGAACTGCAAGTGTCTGGAGTGAGGGAGGTGGCTAGAAAAATACAGATGACATAAGAGACAGAGAAGCTAGACTGTGACAAACCTATGAGTTTGGGCTTCATTTTGAAACCAGTGGCGTACACCAGAGTCCCAGCATAGGTACATAAACCTAAAAGGAACACAGTTAGATGCATTTAGAGGGCAAGGGAGGGGAGATATTGAGGTGGTGTGGGTCATTTGGTCCCCTCAATAAAATCATATTCCAGCTTGAGTTTTGAGTCTGGGCCTCTCTCTACCCATCACACTCCTATTTCGCTGACATAGGTCTGTGAGGCAACTATCATTTGTCTCAGTGCAGCAGCCCCCTGGGCACGGTTGGACTTACGAGAGATGTTGGGTTGATCTCCACCAGAGTGCTCCCCAGGGGCTTCCCCTGGGCAATCTGGACACAATTTCTGCCTTTCATGCTGTCTTAAGGATCTAGCTGTCATGTGAGCTTTGCTCTGACCAGATGGAAAGTTGAAGTAAAGGGGTGTTGGAATGATGCCAATGGTTCAAGGTACTGTGGCTGGGGACAGTTGAACAAGCAGCCAACTGAAGGAACTTGTATCTTAAGAAGACAAAAGCGGACATCAGGGAGTGAGTGGGTCACCCAGAGTAGCAGGGATCAAGCCAGGAAATAGTATCTGTGAATAGGATTCATGGATATGGTGGGGTGTTTTGTTTTGTTTTACTTTTTTTAGCTGAACTCTTACCATGTAGCCCAGGAAGGGCTCAAAATAACAATCTTCCCATATCAGCCTCTCAAGTATCTGGGATTACAAACATGTGCCAATGTACCCTGCTTTAATGTTTTAATTTTTTTCTCAAAAGAGTGAGTTCTAGCAGGTCTGCTGTTGCTTAAAATGTTCAACTCTTCAATTAAAAATCTGTGCTATTTAATGAGTTTTTCCAGTTCTAAAACATGCCATTTCCAAAATATTCAGGAATAGGGATGAAGCTGTTTAGATGATTTCTATTTAAATAGGACTGAAAATTTCATTTGTAGTAAGATACAAATGTGTTTTATCTGAGTATGTACAGTACCTAAGAAAGCATCACATGTGATTAAGATAAAGGAAAATAGACTACAACAGTTGAGCTAAAAATTTTTTTGTTGTTTCTGATTCATCCTATCAGAGATCAGCAGAACATTTCAGCCAGATGAAATAAAAAAGAATTTTTAAGTGAGGTGAAAAATCTGTGGGGTATTTATGAAATTAGAGCCATTTTGCATCTACCAGCCATATAATCATCCCATTTCTGTAGCCTTCGTAGTATTATCATGGGTACTGTGTGTGGGGTGAAGTACACATTTTCCAAAATGGTTAGCTGGCTGTGTGATAGCTAAGTCCATCCATGAAAGACAGCCTTCCAGAGGAGAACCACCTCACCCAGAGAGCCATCTAGTTGGAAATAAATTGTTCTCAAAAGTGGTTGAAACAATCAACTACATAGCACAGAGAGAAGCAAGGGTTGCCCTATTTTATGAAAGGCAAAAGAGCCTTGTTTATTAAGAACCTACCATGTACTAGGTACCCTACCTAGTATACCAGTATACTACCTACCTAGTTACTCAGTATACACAAAAGCACTGTAAAGTCTCATCAGCTGTATGCCCTTGGTCAAGTTGCTTCCATCTCTATGCCTCTATTTCTTCCTCTGTAACATGGGAAAATTATTATAGTCCTTATAAGGTTAATTTTTGAATACTTAATGAATTTATACATATTTAATGGTTTCTGAAAGTGTTTGGTATATAGTAATCACTGAGTAAGTGAAAGCTAGAATTATTTAATCCTCTCAACAACACTGAGAAATGAATGTCATTATACTCATCCTAATGAGAAGGATATAGAGGCTCAGAAGAAGGCCAGTCTTACTCTAGAGCTCATGTTATAGAGAAATGTCTGAGGGAATGTCTGATTCTATATTCAGCTCTCTTCCTGTACTCTGGTTTCAGTTGCTGCTAGGTTCAGATATCTGCTGCTGTGGACCAGAACTACCAAGGTTGGGAACCTGTGGAGGGAAGGAATCCTGGGAGAAGGAAGCCCCAATTCAGAAGAGACGTGGATGAATTTAAAAATCCATGATCAAAGATGGCTTCCTTCTATACACAGTCCCCTTTCCATGTGCCGTCTCACCTGAGGCCTTTGCTACAATTTTTCCCTCTGGAGATGTGAACCACCT